ATCGCGGGCAAATTCAAATACTAAACTCGGAGTGGCCAAAATAATAAAACTAAAATATTTTCTTTGTATTACTTTGTATTTCTATTTATTATTTACAACTTACAATTGATTAATGAACAATGAACAATTCATAACATGATCCCAGGGCCGCCAGACCTATCTCATTTTCAAATTAATGAATTTTAGTATGTGTGCAATAGGAAGGGTACTTAAAAACTTTAGTTACCTTACCGGTTGCAAAAGAATGCGCCTAATATTGATTACGTGAACTTTAAAGCGTCTGGCGGAAGTTACCGCCAACGGAAAGTATCTGGCGATAATCAATATTGATTTTTAACGGTATTCTAAAATACACACGATTGAGAGAAATAGAGATTGCGCCAATCGCGGTACCGCTAATCCGCTCTTTGTGATTTTGACAGAATGAGCTGTGTGCGTGACGTCATCTTGGTGCAATTGTTGAATGTGAGCATACGAAAAAACCAAAAAACAATTTTAATATTTGTGCGTTAATATTTCTGCGTGGTTTTAAACAATTATTGAGACATTAAAAAGCAAAATGAAGTGTGCAGTGGCAAAGTGTAATAAGGAAAACAAAAGGAAAGCGTGCTGTATAAGTTTTTTTCCGTTTCCTACGGACGCAAACCTGGCGAAAAAGTGGAAGCAGTTCTGCCGGCGAGGACATGCATTAAACACCAAATCGAGCTTTGTGCTATGTGTGTGAGCTATGAGCTTCTACACGGAACTATGTTGGCCTTTCCTTGGTGAATTGTAGTAGGTATATTTCCATGGTGAATGTAGACAGTTGCTGGTTTAGTTTGCTGGCAATGACATACATACAAAAGCAGTTTCTACAGTAAATAGATACATGAACTTTACTACCTACTTATTTTTGTTAGTACCTGNTGCAAAAGCAGTTTCTACAGTAAATAGATACATGAACTTTACCACCTACTTATTTTTGTTAGTACCTGATTCTTTTAGTGCTTAATAAAATACTATGTAGTATCGCCCAGTTCTCGAAATTCTATAACTTTTTTCATAATTTTTTTAATTATTTGTCACTTACTATATTGATTCCTTTATGCGGATGACGATTTTAGCTTATAGGTTACAGAGATAAGCGATATGAGGTTTAAGTTTGTATGGGTGGTGCCACGCCCCCTTCTCCAATACCTACCACTTTTTGCGATTAGTAAGGTAGTTACAATTTATGCATCCGCGCCAAGTTTCAGATATATTAGTTTTCACATTTTAGTCTGTATGTGACATGCCACGCCCCGATATATCGAACTTAACATTTATAGAATAGAGAAAGTTATATCCTTTAAATCGGAGTATGTTTCATTGAAATCTAGATAACGGTGTACTCAAAAAGGAAATTTCAAAATTTTGTTGACGTATTTATATATGTATGTATAGATTATGCACATAAAACTTGATTTATTTATTTGCAGGCAACCGGACAACGCATCGGAACAATAGTTCAGTCAGTCGCCACCATAGCTTTAGGTATTGCCTTGTCCATGTACTATGAATGGAGTTTGGGTTTATTGGCACTAGCGTTCGCCCCATTTATTCTGGTTGCGGCGCTCTTGCAGCGTAAAGTCATGGCTCAGGAAAATATGGGAACTTCTAAGACTATGGAAAATTGCACGAAGGTATGGCATAGTAAAAATTATTTCCAAAAAATTTTTAAATAATGTGAGTTATTTGTATTTTCAGCTTGCCGTTGAGGTCGTCTCGAATATTCGCACAGTAGCTTCATTAGGCAGGGAGGAGATGTTTTATCAACAATACATGGATTTATTGAACCCAGCAATGGCTGTAAGTAATATGCGATTTTTGCATAACCTAACCTAATCAATAAAATTTACCTACGTATGTATATTCAGACAGCTAAAAAGAATACTCACTTCCGAGGCTTTGTGTATGGATTGGCCAGATCTCTTATGTTCTTTGCATACGCGGCTTGTATGTACTATGGCGGTTGGTGTATAGTACACAAAGGCATGGAGTTTGGTAATGTTTTCAAGTAAGTGACCGAAACCGTTTTCTACTTTTTAATCTGATATGTCTGTTAAAATAATACATATCGTCGATGATTTTCCAAAACCGCCCAGTTGCAAAACCGCCTAAGTCGGCGTTGTGGCAAACATAAGATTTGGTAACCCTGAACTCCAGGCATCGATATTTATGCATACAAATCGTTAAATCGTTATTAAAAAACAGATTTGTGAAATAATAGCTAGAGGAAATACCGCCTATTAAGGCAATGCCTTCAAAGAATAAACCGTTTTTTCGCTCTCCTGTAAAATTCGAGTGCCGTAAGATAGGCGGTTTTCCAATTGGGCGATGGGTGGTTTTGCAAAAACATCGACGATATGTATAAAATGTGTTAACTAACTTTATGTACATCAACATGTTTATATATTTACAGAGTTTCTCAAGCCTTGATTATGGGTACGGCTACTATTGCGGATGCACTAGCTTTTGCGCCCAATTTCCAAAAGGGCATCACTGCAGCAAAGAAAATATTTTTACTTCTAAGCCGCGAGCCAAAGATCTTTGATAAACCGGATGTGTCGACAGATCCATGGAATGCAGAAGGCAAAGTTGACTTCAATGATGTCAAATTTAGTTATCCAACCCGCAAAGAAATTCCAGTATTGCGAGGTATATTATTGAATATCAAAGAAGGACAAAAAGTAGCATTGGTTGGCTCTTCTGGGTGTGGAAAGTCTACATGCATTCAACTACTGCAACGCTTCTATGATGTTGACGCCGGTTCAGTAAACATAGACAACATCGATTTGCGAAATCTGGCGCTTACAAACCTGCGACGTCAGCTTGGTATCGTCTCTCAGGAGCCGATATTGTTCGACAGATCCATTAAGGATAACATTGCTTACGGAGATAATAAGCGAGATGTCTCTGAGCAGGAAATAATCGCAGCTGCCAAAAAAGCAAATATACATAATTTTGTGTCGGCATTGCCCTTGGTAAGGCTAATATAATAATTACATTAAGGGTAATCACAATCTTGTGCACATGGTCTTACACAGTTACCACAGAAAGAGATATAAAATTTGCATGCAATTGCCCTTAAAAGTCTATAGATATGTACATTAGACTGCACCCTTCCCCATACAAAAAAAAATTGGTACTGTTTTTCTACTGGAATTATATATATCAGGCATATCAGGTAGTCACATTAGAGCAAAAACATCATTTGCGTGTATTTTGTTGTAGTTTCTGGTATCGAAAGTGACAAAAACTGTTTCGATAGTAGTTAGTTGAATAAGGAAAAAGAATTAGCAACAAGAGTTTACGGGATGTACATAGCCCAGTGGTTAACGCTTCTGACTTTGAACATCGAATACGCAGGTTCGATCCCTGCTGAAGTCTAGAAAAAAGAAGTCTGATGAGGAGATGTGGTGATCTCCGAAATAGTGCTATAACTTCTACCGCTTAGACTTTGTTGCTTTTTCAATTTTTCCTAATAAACAATCGTGGTACAAAGCTCAATAAAAATATTAAAAAATACTTTTTTTTTGTTTTTGCTTTTGCGGCGAGGACTGTCAAAAATTTCATATGAAGGATTTGAAAGAGAACAGAAAACAATAACCAATCAACAGCTCCAACCAATCAACAGCAGCCATTTGACATATGAAGCCGTGAGGCGAAGAAAAATAAAAGGGTGCTGCTATCAGCTCCAGGAAGTTATCTACTGTTTAATAAAAAAATATTATATAGAATATCGCAAACGTTAGTAGGTCGTTTGTAGGTCTATGATAGATAAAAATTAACGTTTGATAGATCTTCCTATTTCTACAAAAAGAAAAATAAAAATGTTCAATATTTCTACGGAAGTTAGCCCCCTGTTTTTTTAATTTTGCCGTTAGAATGTTGAATTGCCGACTAAGTGATGCAGAATTGTTTGTAGGCGATTGATAGATGACATTCGGTCTCCTTTAATGCTCAATATATAAATTATTGACGTGAAACGGTTTTGGAGAAATGTGTTGTACCTAAATAGAGCCAAGTGTACCGAATGTATCTTTATCTTACTTAGAATATTACTTAGAATAGCACAATCGTTTGTAGGTCGTTTGTAGGTCTATGATAGACAAAAATTAACGTTTGATAGATCTCCCTATTTCTAAAATAAGAAAATTAAAAAAGCTCAACATTTTTACGGAAGTTAGCCCCTGTTTTTTTTTTATTTTGATGATAGAATGTTGAATTGCCGACTAAGTGATGCAGAATCGTTTGTAGGTGATTGACAGATGACATTCGGTCTCCTTTAATGCGCAATATATATGTAAATTATTGACGTGAAACGGTTTTGGAGAAATATGTTGTACCTAAATAGACATATAATTTTGAACGAATTTAGTTTCGACACAAACCGGTTTCGTGTTGGCATTGAAATGCCATTTTTCGTTTAGATTTACACTGCAATTTTTTTTAAGTAGCCAGTGATGGAAAAGTAAGCACAAGTCAACCTTATCAGCCCTCTTTATTCCAAAAATAAATTCGGTACACTTGGCTCAATTTAGGTACAATACACTGAGACTGAATGTCATCTATGAATCACCTGCAAACGATTCTGATCCTTTAGTCGGCATTTGAAAATTCTATCGCTAAAATTTAAGAACATCAAGGGGCTAACTTCCGTAGAAACTACGGATTTTTTTCTTATTTTAGAAATATGAAGACCTATCTAACGTTAATTTTTATCTATCATAGACCTACAAACGATTGTGATATTCTAAGTAATATTCTAAGTAAGATAAAGATACATTCGGTACACTTGGCTCTATTTAGGTACATCACATTTCTCCAAAACCGTTTCACGTCAATAATTTATATATTGAGCATTAAAGGAGACCGAATGTCATCGATCAATCACCTACAAACGATTCTGCATCACTTAGTCGGCAATTCAACATTCTATCGGCAAAATTAAAAAAAATTGGGGGCTAACTTCCGTAGAAATATTGAGTTTTTTTATTTTTCTTATTTTAGAAATAGGAAGATCTATCAAACGTTAATTTGTATCTATCATAGACCTACAAACGATTGCAATATTCTAAGTAATATTTTGCATTTAAAGAGTAGCTAACAGGGGGCTAACTTCCGTAAAAATGTTGAGCTTCTTTAATTTTCTTATTTTGGAAATAGGGAGATCTATCAAACGTTAATTTTTGTCTATCATAGACCTACAAACGACCTACAAACGATTGTGATATTCTAAGTAATATTCTAAGTAAGATAAAGATACATTCGGTACACTTGGCTCTATTTAGGTACATCACATTTCTCCAAAACCGTTTCACGTCAATAATTTATATATTGAGCATTAAAGGAGACCGAATGTCATCGATCAATCACCTACAAACGATTCTGCATCACTTAGTCGGCAATTCAACATTCTATCGGCAAAATTAAAAAAAAATGGGGGCTAACTTCCGTAGAAATATTGAGTTTTTTTATTTTTCTTATTTTAGAAATAGGAAGATCTATCAAACGTTAATTTGTATCTATCATAGACCTACAAACGATTGCAATATTCTAAGTAATATTTTGCATTTAAAGAGTAGCTAACTTCTCGGTGCCGCTGCTATCACCTGTTAAATACGCCTTGGTTGCAACTTTATTTCTTGCTTGCTTCTCGAAGCATTGATCCATCTTTTGCAAGGCGCAGTAATCAGGGGTTGCGCTGCTGAGATCGGCGAGCGTTTCAAAAACTGCAATTCAATCGCTAGTTTTGTTTGGAAAAAGGTTTCACATGCTAATAGATTTTAACAATTTGGAATTTTTGTGAGAAGAAATTGAAAATATTTGACAATTTCGAGACCAAATATTAAAAAAAAATAAATCAAATCAGCTCCTATACTGATTCTACCTGTTCAATGTGCCTTGGTTTATGCCACAGTATACAGTAATCCAGATAGCCAAAACAAAAAATGTAAATATGCTTATTTGACATTTTGTTTGAATGTATTGGTTGATATTTTTTCACAGTTGTCGTTTTCGTTAACCCAAACGAAATCCAATTTAAATATTTTCTTATAGTGAAAAATATTTTCAAGTCACATAAAATAAAATAACGAGAAAAACAAAATTCCAAGCAAATCAAGCGTGAAGCGTAAGCGATTATAACCGGATGCAGTTCCTACATAAGTCAAACCGTGTTCCGAACACAACTTTGAGTGAGTAATGGTGGGCTGACTTTTTAAAATGGTCCCATCGATTAGGCGGTAAAACAAATATTACTTAGCTTAAGGTAGAACTCTCTAATTTTCAAATGCGCGAAATTTGTTTGTATTTGTTCAGCCGCTTATTCACATTTGAAAGAGGATAATGCATGAATTAATGCAAGTAAAGACGGTTTATGCAGATAAGTAAGCGCGTTTGTTAACCGTATAAAATGTATGTACATATATACTCATATGCATACATATATACCAAAAAATTTAGAATGACGAGGTGAACTAGTTCAGCCCTCTCTGTTTGTAAACACGCTAACTCGAACAAAATTTAGATATTTTAACGAAAGTCGGTGTCGAAGTTGCCTTTGGTATAAGTTAGGTTAGTGTTAAACTTTGGCGAAATCTGCCAATAACCACGCCCACTTCCNGAAAGTCGGTGTCGAAGTTGCCTTTGGTATAAGTTAGGTTAGTGTTAAATTTTGGCGAAATCTGCCAATAACCACGCCCAGTTCCCACGTAGTAATCAAAAATTTTTGTTTTATTAGTATTTTTTTACGAATTTTGCTGTTCAAATTTACATGTCAAATATATCAACAAACATTTGTGGGTACTTTTGCATCAGTCGCTGCCTATGGGTTAATGACAAATAAATCCTATACATTCACAATATTTCATGTATTAATTTTCAAATAAGCATATTGTCAATGGCTGGTTTACTGTATACTGTGGTTTATGCTTAAAAAATGTTTATAAAAATATATTTCGACGGAATCATAATAATGAAATTTTGTATGCTGTTTTTGAACCCAGTTATTCAAGTTTTCCTTAAACCAATCTTTGAAAAAGTTAAAAAACATCGTCAAAAATCTCATTATTTTAATTCCGTTGAAAGATTTTTTAATATGTTTAGATATAGATATAGATATAGATATAGATATAGATATAGTAGATATAGATATAGATATAGATATAGATATAGGATAGTAAGGATAATATAGATATAGATATAGATATAGATATAGATATAGATATAGATATAGATAT